TTGGTGGACATATTATTGAACATCAATTACACCCAGTAATAGCTTCCTTTCTTTCAAAATAAATCTAGTAATAATAATCTATCTACATACTGATATTGGTACTACATCAATTTACCAAAAAAAAACATGCTACATTTTTAGGTATCTTTTATCTATGATGCAGTTGGAAAAGCTAGGCACCAAAAAAGAATATTGCTTCCTTCTATGAGAGCAAACTAGACTACTGTAATGCAATGACACATTGTTACTGAACTACATTCACATCAACTGAAACGTTTCAAAATACATGGACAATTTTTATTTGTTTGGTTCTTGAACTAACTACATATGACATAGTGGTTACCAGTGGTGGGTTCCGTACCAGTTGGAACGGGCCCGGTGGCATCCACATGGATCTGTGCAGACGCGCACAGCGTGCACATGTGTCTTAGTGTCTTGCGAGCCTCCGCAATGGTCCAGCTGCTCAGTGGAGTGTTCCGCAGGTGCTGTATGCGCCGTGTGCGTGCGTGGAAGTGCCGAAGACTTAAAAGACCAGTAAGGAGCTCAGGCGGGCGGGCCCTCTGGAGCACCGTACCAGAACGGTATCCGGTGCTCCGGGCAGGCTCAAGTACGCCCATACCGGGGCGTACCACCTGCAACCCACCACTGGTGGTTAAGTATAAATATTATTAAATATACTGGTCAAGTGATTAAGGCACCAGGCTAGAAAGCAGGAGTACATGAGTTCAAGGCCAGCCTTAGCCATGAAAGCCAGCTGGGTGACTTTGGGCCAGTTACTCTCAGCCTCACAGGGTTGTTCTGGGGAAGAGAAAGATGCTACCAGTCCATGGCCTGTTAGGAATCGGGAGCACAGCTGCAGGTAAATCACAGGTGAGTGAATGAAGCTTTATCTGTATTTTCAGCCGTTTCCTGTAGGAGATGACAAGGTTTAGCCCAAGAGAGGGGTCAAACATGTCATAAGTCACGAATCCCTATGCAGCCTCAAGACAGCCAAGTCCAACCCACCTTTAATGCCTCTCTTATTTCCCCTTCATATCCTTTTATGGTTAGTTGGTCAGGTTCTTATAGAGAGCTAAAGCTTGCAATAAATCTTCATACTCATTTGAACTGTCTGGCTCTCCTGATTTTCCCGGGATTTGAGATTCCCCAGCACTAGCATCACCGCTTTCAGTCCGCCTCAGGTCCACCTCAGATCAGGCATTAGATTATAGCATGAAGTCTACTGTAAACTACACATGCAAAGGAACTGCTGTGGTCCGCTAGCGGCCACCAGATTTGATGGCAGACTCAGAAAGTGAGGAGGTTGGAGAGGAACATGGGCCAGTCCTGGAGTCTGAGGAAAGCTCTGCGTCGGAGGCAGAGATGGGGCCAGGGCAGTCCGACAGTTATCAGCTGCCTTGGAGTCAGAGATCAGTGGAGCAGAAGAACAGATGGAACCTGTTCCTGATGTGCCTATGTGCAGACCTGCCAGGAGAAGGAAACAGTTAAGGAACAAAGGCCGACTCAGGAATAAAGGCACAGGTGGACAGTGAATGGCCCCTCCCATAGGAAATATGTTCATTTAATTAATGTGAAGATTTGTTCGTGACTCTCAGAAACTCCTTTTCTTTTGCATTTGGAAGATATCGGCCTGGCAGCTCTCCAAGCCTGTGGTTGTAAATTCATCCTTGAAAAACTGTTTGCCAAGACTTTGCTGGATGTGAATGAGAGGAATTCACATTAGCTTAACAAAAAGGGGTTTTTGTCAGGACAAGGAGTCTGCTTCCTGATTTTGTGAAGCCAAGGTCAGAACAGGAACTAGGTTCCGCTCTCCTCCTATCCGAGGTGGCACAGTGGTTAGGGTGCAGTACTGCAGGCCACTTCAGCTGACTGTTATCTGCAGTTCAGCGGTTCTAATCTCACCGGCTCAAGGTTGACTCAGCCTTCCATCCTTCCGAGGTGGGTGAAATGAGGACCCAGACTGTGGG